AAATACAAGGATATATTTACTTTAGTAAATTTGACTGCAGATCAGGATTTTACCACTTAAAGTTAGAAGAAGAATCTAAAAAACTTACAGCATTTACAGTACCACAAGGATTTTATGAATGGAATGTATTACCATTTGGAAATAAAAATGCACCAGGTAGATATCAACACTTTATGGATAACTATTTTAAATAACTAGAAAATTGTATAGTATATATTGATGATATATTACTATATTCCAAAACACAGGATGAACATATAAGGTTATTAGAAAAATTTATACATATCATAGAATATTCAGGCATAAGCCTAAGTAAAAAGAAAGCAGACATAATGAAAAAGCAAATAGAATTCTTAGGAATACAAATAAATAAAAATGGAATAAAAATGCAAGCACATATAGTACAAAAAATAATTAACTCAAATGAATAACTAGATACAAAAAAGAAATTACAGTCATTTCTAGGATTAGTGAACCAAGTGAGAGAATACATACCAAAATTAGCAGAGAATCTAAAACCATTATAACAAAAATTAAAGAAAGATATATAATACCAGTTTGATAAAAAAGACCAAACACAAATACAAAAAATAAAACTATTATGTAAGAACCTACCTAAACAATATTTTCCGGATGAAAACAAAAAATTTACTTATATAGTAGAATCAGACGCCAGTGAAAAAAGTTATGGAGGAGTCTTAAAATACAGGTATGATAAAGAAAAAAATAGAACACCATTGTAGATATTATTCAGAAATATTTACTAATACAGAAATAAGGTGGGAAATAAATAGGAAAGAATTATATTTAGTGTATAAATGTTTACTATCATTTGAACCATATATTGTATATAACAAATTTATTGTAAGGACAGATAACACATAAGTAAAATGGTGGCTAACAAGAAAAATACAGAATTCAATAACTACAAAAGAAATGAGAAGATTGGTATTAAATATATTAAATTTTACATTCACTATTGAAGTAATAAAAACTGACAAGAATGTTATTCCAGATTACTTGTCAAGACAAAGCTACTCAAACTGAGAAAGAAAATACAATCGAAGAGATACTCAAAGCCATTACTACACTTTGTATCAAAGTGGATAGTATGGACAATGGACAATGAGATACAAAAGCTAAAGACTAATGAAGATAATCTGAAGTCTAAAGGTAGTACAAGTCAGCAGCATGACTATAAAAATGTGGAGCTAAGTCGATCGGAAGACTTTAATAATACAGAGCTAAGAGGTGACGTTGGGAAACACCTTAAAACCCATAATGATTGTTTAAATATAGCTGCAGGTACAAAGAAACCAGTTATTGAAAAACAACGGAATACAAATTTAAATCAGTTATTTGGAAAACCATTTACACAAAAAACAAAAAACCCATTAACCATAGAACCACAAACTTCAACGTATGCAGATAGCCTACAACATCTGAAAAAGGTATATAACCACATCACAAGGAAATACATCGAAAATATATACAAAATACAGAGTTACCTAAACCTCAATCCCAGATCTACCACTATAAAAGATCCAAACCAAGACTATACAACCCAGAAATTACAAGGATACAACAAGCTAATTGCACAGCCGAAAACCAATGCCAACCTAGTTAAAACATGTTATAATTATGGATTAATAAGTACTGGATATACCTACGATGGAGAAGAATTAAGCGGTATACCAGAATTATAGAAAGCATTTATTATATACAAAAGAGTAACCAAAGGGAATTTATTTTATATAAAATTCTATATGGCAATAGCAGAAATACTACATGAGCAGATAAAACCTTTGATACAAGTTGTAAAGATAGGCCTGACCAAATATATGATAATACCAGAAGATAGTGGAGAACAACCAGAAATACCAAAAATTGAGATACCCAGTTTTAATGTCAATAAAAGAATAATTGGTATATCAACTATAATACAAGAATTAGCCAACAATTATTTGAATGGCAATGCTATATGGAGCTAGTATTCCAGAGATCAATTAATGATTTATGGCAACTCAAGGGAACTAAGGAAATCAGATATGGATGAAGTCAAGAAATGGATTTTATCATTTTTAAAACTAGAAGAAAAACCTACAAAAGAGCATTAAAGGCGGGATTTATTTCGTTAGAATTGTTAACCAGATATTGTAAGCTAATTGGACATAAATATCCTGACCATATATGTTCAAAATGTAATGGAGAAGATAATGTGATTTCCGATGTCCAACTGGAATGATCGAATAAGATAGAGACGGAAGTAAATAAGAAAAAGAAGACAAGAAGATAAAAAGAAGATAGACACATGAAGTAAAATGTGCATTCTTATGTAAAGAAAGTCGTAGATAAAGGAGAAGACAAAGAGATAAGATAAAAAGAAGAAGACAAAGAAGATAAGAAGAAGAAGACAAGTAGAAGAGGACAAAAAGATGAAAAGAAGATAGACACATGCGCATTATTATGTAAAAAAGTCGTAAAAAGTATAGTAGACGCATTATTATAGAGAATAATATAGGATTAGAATTGTTTATATAAAGTAATGTACAAGTAACATAATGAGCAAGCCTTGAATAAACAAATCAAGCTTTCATAAAAACACTCTCAAATACTTAAGATATTCATACTTAATAGATAATGGAACAACTTTCAGATATCATGGATAAGCAAAAGGCAAAGGTATATTGTTCAACAAATATGCAGAACTAATTTCATATATTCCTGAATATCATATATATGATTGAATAAATTTATGTTAGTTATTATGTATTAGAATTATTTGAATCATGATTTCTAGTTTATTAGCACACTGGAAACAGGGAGAAAACTTCTATACTATGCCATCCTAATGTTGAAACCGGTAGGCAAGGAAAACCGTTTAGGGGAGTAAACAAAGTTGAGGCGCTGATAAGAAAGAAGTATCCGCTAAAGTACGATGCTAGTAATGACAATAGAACATGATAAATAGATAATCTAGTTCATAATGATCTAATATGAATTTAATCAATTATGAATATGATAGGAAGGAATAATTGAAAATAAAAATCCTGCATAACAACGAACATGACTACATACATGCATGATGAAATAATAAAAAACTATGAAACTTTAATCTTATATATACTTAAAGGTATAGAGATAATTGAATTAAGAAGAATCATATGATAAAAATATTTAATGATGACGAATCAAAAGATATATTACACCAACAATGGTATGAAATAAACCTATATGATCTAAACCTCGAAAGAATAGAATTATATGACTTAGAAATAGATTCAGATTAAAATCAACTACAAATATTTACAATATTGGAATAAAGCTATGGAAAATATAAAACTGCTAGAACAACTAATGGAGGATAATTTATATATGTACCTAAGAACTCAAGATATGTTATATCTAGAGTACATCATAAATAATATTAAAGAAATAACAAGATTAAAACCTCTAGCAAAAGAATATTATAATAAAATCTTTACCAAAAATTAATATAAGAACGATGAAGTCCGCACCCCCGAAAAATGGTCCGTAGTCTGGATTCGGTTAATAAAGGGATAGAAGATCAGTTGGTGCAAGGAGGAATAACATTACAATCATTTGAAGTTGCCTCATTTCTCCTAGATGGCATGACTAGAGTAAATCAAGCATGGTACATTGATAACGATCAAGGAAGGAAAGGAATAAAGAAAGAAAAGATATGTGGATTAATACTCAAGTTATTGAAATTATGGGCAACAAGGGACTAAAACGCTCACCTCCCAATTGACTTCAACAACTTAAATTCAACCCAAGGAATTCTAATCAAATGAAACCAAGAATCACAAAGGGGTAACACTTTGATTAATCAAGCACAAGAAGTTAACAAGCAATCCCAAGAGTTCACTCTAATTACTCACTAATTACTCACTAAGAAGATACTATAATTTGAGAGTCAATATTCAATATAATCTAAGTCTTCCCAAAATAAAAGAGACTACTATTTATACTAAAAATATAAACAAGACACTTTTTGACAATTTTACCCTTAATGAGATAAGGGCTTTGTTTGGTAGCCTTCTTTTGTGAATTCATGAATTCATGAAATGGTCATTTCCACACATGGCCTCTTTCCTTCTGCCTTCTCATTTTGATGTACCTTACACACATTGTATGTTTTTCTTTGGTGACCTTCAAGCTCCTCTAATGCTTCCCTTTTCATGAACATTGCTTGTAGGCCTTGGAGATCCTTTGCTTGACTCCGTGTGAATGGTCTTGAGGGGTATATCCCAATCATGTTAGTGTCATCCATGCTGCCCATGTTATCATACATAAAAGATAACCAAGTTTCCCCAATGTTGTTTAGATTAACACAAGAACAACTCCATAAAGAAAGGGAAAGGAACGAAAACATCAAAAAGATGTTGTGTCAAATGGAAGTGATACATGAGCACATGAAGGGGACGTATGGAGTATTTAAAGTTGAGGAGGGTTCTCCTTCTAGTTACTTAATACCGGGGGAGAATCAAGGTTGGAACTCTAAAATAATTGAGGGGGGTTCTTCATCCGGTTACTTAAGGCTAGGGGATAATCAAGGTTGGAATTCCACAATATATGAGGAGGGTTTCCACCCATGCTATCAATAGCGGGGCGGAAATCAAGGCTGGAACCATTATAGGAGTGAAGAACCAAGGAGATATTGCCACAATTTGGCTGAGTAAGATGACCATGAGGAAGAGCGTACTCAATTGACTAAAAGCCCAAAATCAAAAGGGTGCGCAAGTGGTCCTCGAGTAAATGATCTATTGTCATGCATACTTGATAAAGTTGACGGCTCTACTGATTTGCTAAAAGGAATGAAAGATGACTTTTCTTCACTAAACAGTAAAGTGAATTCTCATGCTGATGCCATCTAAACACTAGAAGGTCAATCGAGTCTATTATCAACTCAATTAACATCCAGGACACTGATAGAAGATAATGAAAAAGGGTTGGTTGTGGTGACCCGTAGTTGAAAGATGGCAAAAGGGAATGCGATGGAGGATGGGGACCCTCGAATTCAGGAAGAGAACCAGGGTATAGAGGAACGAGAATCGCCTATTCCACAAAACCTTGCCAAAGAACCACAATATGATGCAGAGCAACATGTTCAAGATCCAAAAATCACGCAACCTTTACCCAAAATACCTCCACCATTTCCTCAACGTTTGAAAAAGAAGAATGGAGATGAGAAGTTCAAAACAAATTTGTCAGTATTCAAGAACCTATCAATTAACCCTCCTCTGGTGGAAGCATTTTTGGAAATGCCGGGATACGCCAAATTCATGAATGAGCTGGTTACAAAGAAAAAGAGCTTGGAGTATGAGACGATTGAGGTGCCTCATAGTTCTAGCACAATTATGACAAATGAGTCAATCACTAAGAGAGAAGATCCTGGGGCAATCATAATTCCATGCACAATTGGCATGTTCCAATTCGCTAAATCTTTGTGTGATTTAGGAGAAAACATTAACTTGATGCCCTACGCAATATATGAGCAACTTGGTTTGGGTGAACCAAAGGCAACCACAATGAGACTCCTTATGGCTGATCGATCAATTAAGGACCCAGTGGGGATACTCCATGACATATTGGTAAAAGTAGATTGGTTCATCTTTTCGCCTGATTTTGTGATTCTAGATTGTGAATTCGATGTTGAAATCACCATTATTTTGGGAAGGCCATTCTTAGCTAATGGGAGAGCATTTGTGGATGTCAAAAGAGGGAAATTAAAGTTCCATGTGAACGATGATGATGTGACCTTCAATATTTGTAAATCCATCAAGCAATCAAGTAATATCCATGTGGTGTCTACTGAGGATGTTATAGTGACAAGTGTTAGCCATTTAATGAAAAAGAATGAACCCCCTGAGTATGTACTTGCCAACTATGATGAATACAAAGTTCAAGGCTATGAGGAAGTGGTAGCTGCCTTATCAGGGTTAGGAGTATATTCAAGGGATCCAATCAAGTTGGATATCGACCTAAAAAATAGAGAAAGTCCTCCTGCAAAGCCATCAACAGAAGAACCCCCGAATCTGGGGTTATAAGCCCTACCCTCTCATCTAAAATATGCATTCTTAGGAGCTAATAATACGTTACCAGTGATTATTGCAGCCGCTTTTCTCAAAGGGTGGGTGAAATTTCTCATTGAAGTACTACGGAAGCATATAAAAGCTATTGGATGGACAATAGCCGATATAGTAGCAATTTATCCTGAATCTGTACTCACAAGATTCTGCTTAACAGTGAATGTAAACCTAGCGTGAGCATCAACGGAGAGATTGAACCCTCCAATGCAAGTGGTGGTGAAAAAGGAAATCATCAAGTGGCTAGATGCGGGAGTGATCTACCGTATCGCAAATAGTAAGTGGGTAAGTCCAGTTTAGTCTGTACCGAAAAAATGAGGTATAACTGTAGTCCCAAATGCAAAAGGAGAACTTGTGCCGACAAGACCGGTGAGTGGATGGAGAGTATGCATGGATTATCGAAAGGTTAACTCATGGACAGAGAAACACCATTTTCCAATGCCTTTTATGAACCAAATGCTCGACCGGTTATCAGAAAGGGGGTGGTATTGCTTTTTAGATGGATTTCCTGGTTACAATCATATCTCTATCGTGCCGGAAGAACAAGAGAAAACAACTTTTACCTACCCTTATGGAACATTTCCATTCAAAAGGATGCCATTCGGGTTGTGTAATGCCCCAACAACAATCCAGCGTTGCATGTTGTCTATTTTTGCGGATATGGTCGAAGACTCTATGTAGGTATTCATGGATGACTTCTCAGTCGTAGGGGACACATTTGCGGAATTCTTGACACACTTAGGACAGTTTCTCCAAAGATGCATGGATACGAATCTGGTTCTAAATTGGGAAAAATGTCACTTTATGGTGAAGAAATGTATCGTTCTTGGGCACAAGGTGTCGCAAAAAGGGATGGAGGTTGACAAGGCGAAAATTGAGGTCATTGAGAAATTACACCCACCAATTTCAGTGAAGGGTGTTCGCAGCTTCTTGGGTCCTGCAGGATTCTACCGAAGGTTCATTAAAGACTTCTCAAAGATTGCACATCCACTATGTAAACTCCTAGAGAAGGAACCGAAGTTCTATTTTGATGATGCTTGTATGGGTGCATTTACGTATTTGATAGAAAAATTAGTATCCACCCCAATTATAGTTAGTCCTGATTGGTCTGAATCTGTTGAAGTAATGTGTGATGCTAGTGGTATGGCATTGGGAGTAGTGTTAGGGCAAAAGCGCAACAAACTATTTCACCTAATTTATTACGCAAGCAAAACTCTGAATAGTGCACAACGAAATTATACGGTCACTGAACAAGAGTTGCTAGAAGTGGTTTATGCATTTCAAAAGTTCCGGGCAAACTTGCTAGGAACAAAAGTAATAGTACACACTGATCATGCTGCACTCAGCAACTTGAAGGCAAAGAAATATTCAAAACCAATATTGATAAGGTGGGTGCTATTACTACAGGATTTTCGATTTTGAAGTGAAAGACCGAAAAGGCTGCAAAAATCAAGTGGCCGACCACTTATCAAGGTTGCAAGGAAGGGAAGATGCATAGCGTAAGGTTGACATAGGTGATTCCTTCCCCGACGAACAGGTGTTTGCTATATCTCTCAAACCTACACCACAGTATGCAGACTTTACAAAGTACATTGTGAGTGGATTGATACCAGATGAGCTGACCTTTTACCAACAAAAGAGATTCATGTTTGACGTTAAAAAGTACTTTTGGGATGAACCTTACTTGTTTCTAGAATGTGCTGACCATTTTATTTGGAGGTGTGTTCCAGAGGCTTGCCATGGATCTCCAGTAGGGGGTCACCATAGTGGTATTCACACTGCCGCTAAAGTCCTCCAAAGTTGTTATTACTAGCCGTCCATATAAAAGGATGCACATGAATTTGCAAAAAAATGCTCTCAATGTCAACAGCAAGTCAGAGTGTCTAGAAGGCACGAGTTGCCTCTCACTCTTATTTTGGAAGTCGACCAATTCGATGTATGGGGGATCGACTCCATGGGCCCGTTTGTGAGCTCATTTGGAAATAAATATATCTTGGTGGCTGTAGATTATGTCTCCAAATGGGTAGAAGCCATCGCACTTCCAAATAACGAAGGAAAAAGTGTTGTCCAATTTCTAAAATGCTACATCTTCGCAAGATTTGGCAGTCCTAGGGCAATCATTAGTGATGGGGGGTCTCATTTTTGCAAAAGGTGGTTTTCAATGGAACTAAGTAAATATGGGGTGAAACACAAGTTAGCAAACCTATATCATCCCTAAACAAGTGGCCAAGTCAAAGTGTCAAATCGGGAAATCCAAAGTATCCTAGCAAAGACAGTAAATGCCAACAAAATTGACTGGTCTAGGAAACTTGATGGTGCACTATGGGCATACTGGACTGCTTATAAAACACCTATCGGTATGTCTTCATATCAGTTTTTTATGGTAAGGCTTGTCATTTTCCCTTCGAGCTAGAACACAAAGCATTGTGAGCATTAAACGGTTTAAATTTGGACTGGTAAAAAACTTCAAGGGAGAGGGTAGAGCAGGTGAACGAACTGGATAAATTTAGACTCGAATCGTATGAAAGTTCAGCCATCTACAATGATAAGATGAAGAAATGGCATGATGCTCGAAAGATCAACGTCTCAAAACTATTTTTTGGGGATTGTCAAGAGATTTCTTTGGTTGAAGTGGTGTATTTAAAAGAAGCCTGAAGTTACTGATTTGAATAGTTCCGCAACGTTAACTGAGGCACTGTTTGGAAACTACCCAAAACCCCTTCATATTTTATATTTGTGTATTGATAAAATAATGGTGTGTTGATTGTGGAGATGGAAGTGTGGAGAGTGAACGAAAAATGCAGATTGGCGAGCCATAGATCCAGTCGGTGAGTCACCGTAAGGGTCGACGAATCAGATCTTATCCGCCGTTTGACTCAAGACATCTTCAACATTGGAGTTTGTAAAACTTGCCGAGATTTGGAAATTATTGGCGAATCTCCGACCATGTCAGCGACCACGATGGAAACCGCCGTTTAAACCCCGTAAACCAGAGGTTCTATAAATTTCGGCAAAAAAACAAAATAGTCGGTGTTCCACCGAGTGAGTAGTTGAGCTTGACTAATGTCGTCGAGTGGGTGAACACTGGACGGTTTTTGCAAGCCAAAGGTTTAAAAGTTCAACTTCATTCACCTTCCCTCAACTTTTATCGGTTCAAACCCACACCTGCACTCTAGTTTTGTATTTCTTGCATTTTTGGAATATTTTTGTTCATTGATTAGTGCGCGAATCTAGATTTCATTGCTGCCTAGCTTCTCGGTAGTATTTCAATCAGTACAAAAGGTTAGCATCTTGATACCCGTAATTATTGTGTCAGCATTGTACTCATTTGCACACTCTCAGAATATTGATAAAATCTGCTGAACCTCCCTGATTTAATAGAACTGGTTAAGTGTCGATTATTATTCAATAATCTTGCTTAAATTGTGAAATCTTATTCTCTGATGTATCTAGTCGAGTGAATGTGTGATGGGTGGTATTCGTATGTTATGGGTGTTGGTTACATTTGCGCTATTTGTGCTTAAATTGTGTTTTCGGGGGTTGCGGGGCCAATTTCGATAAGTGGGGTCAAAAGGAGGCACGATAGGTGATTCGGCGATCTGTGACAAGCTCGCCGAACCACTCTGTGGTTTACCTAGGTACCTTATCTCGCCCTTACTTTCACGCTTTATTTGTTGTTGCCGCTGAAACATTCGGCTAGAACCATGGGATCGCCAAGTGCAATCGGCGACTCGCCGAATAATAGCTTAATCGCCCTTTGTCTGCACCCCTAACTCCGTCTGCACTGTGACCTTCAGCGAATTATCTGTGGCTCGCCGAATGTATTCGGCGGCACGCCGAATAGATTATCTAGTGTTTCTGCATATGAAAGTCTTTGTGTTTGTTGTTAAATATGATCTAACATTATCTCAAAGACTTTGCACACATGGCCAGACCAAAAGTTGCAGGAATGCCACCCAGACACATAAGAGCACAACATTTTAGAAGAACTGAAAAGAGCTAGAGCAAGGAAGCAAGTCCCAGTAGGAGTATTCACATTGACCCTCTTGTCCCTTCATGGGCTTGAGGGTTTGTCAATGCGATACATGTCTTCAAAGCAGTGCATGATTTGGATAACATGGTTGAGGAAAACATCACTATAGAAGCTGAAGCAAAGAGAAAAGAAAACCAGAACCTGAAGCAGACTAACAACACTCCGGGCACCGATGCATAGACAGGTGGAGAGACTGCGTAGACAAGACTTTTCTTTACCTCCCTCTCTTTATTCCTTTAATTTACATTCTGGATATTTTGTTAATTGCATTTGAGGACAAATTACTTTTATTTGTGGTGGGGCGAGGCTCACCTTTGTGTGCTATTAATGTTCGTGTTCTGTATATTTGGGTTGTTCAGTCTAAAATTGTTTTTGCACTGCTTTTTGTGGATGTTGGAGCTTATGGCTTCCTATTTGTTATAGTTGAAAAATGATTTTGAACCTTTTGAAAAATTTTATTTTATTTTTAAAAAAAATTTCCACCTATGGTGTGTGAATGTGGTTGTTCTTTTGCAAAAATTAAGTTTTGATTCCAATCAATACAGATGACTTGAGTATTGCCTACAATTGAACGAATATGAATGCGTAGCTATGACGAGGCCAAATGAAGTTGCATAGACAATATTTGAACTCTTTGCATATCGTTGTGATTAGCCATTTATCAAATCGAGTCTCTTGTGATGACCGTTGCACACTTGCAAAAGTGTGGAGTCTTGTTTGACTTTAGTGTCCAGACTTGTGTGATGAGCTTACTTTGAACCATGCATGATAGATCCTAGAATTTGCCCTGTTGGTCCGGTCAATTAATTAATGTTGTCTCTTGATATACCTCTTTTGTGACCTACACTCTGTGAGTGTGTGATTCTCTTTTGAACACCCCTTGAGCCTTACCTTTCTTTGGAAGAAACTTGATAAAACCATAACTTAT